ACTCTTCATAAAGAGTCCACCAACATTTGCCTGTTGGCTTCTATTGCAAATACATTCTATAAACAGAGAATATTCTCTCTTCGAGAAGCAGATCTGGACATTTTTGAGGCACGGAGAACCTCATACTCAAGTCACTGCCATCCACTCTATATGGCGCTCCTTACAATGATGGATTGAATTTACTCCAGGGCAGATCCTTCACAGGCTTAGCCATGGAAGGGAAGGTGTTACAGTGGAACTGGGACCGATCTGAACTGCTTCGTGACCAGGATGTGGTAGCCAAGGGGTCTCTACCTTCCCACACTGAGGAAATAGCTCAGTTGTCTATAATCCCCATCCCTAAACTGCTCCCTCCTCCCTCAAAAGAGGCACCTATTGAACTGTGGGGACAGACAGAATGGTCACAGCATTTGGCTAACGCATAGCTTACTGATGGTTCATCAACCACTGATGGAACCAAAACTAACGAAAGTGGCAGCCTATAGACCGGGGAATGGGATGACCAATACTGAGAAGGGAATCACAAAATCGGTGCATCACTATTGGCTATAAGACAAATAACTAGGAAAGCAAAACGAAAATCTCTATTCTTCTGCAGTTCATGTGCAATCAAAATGGAAAACCACTACCTGTCAGATAAACGGCAAAGATACCTGGTCGTAGGAGGCATGAATGCAAATGGCAAAACCTAGCAAAGCTAGCTACAAGACATTTTATGTAGCTCATGATAGACAGGACACCTGAAAATACTGCACTAGTAGACAAATTGACATCATGTTTAGTTAAAACTAGAATATTAGAATTTTTCCAGGGAACAAATTCATAATAAATCTGCAAAAACTTGAAAGTTTATGCCTAACACTAAAAAATTAGGGGAAATAGAAAACCTAATTAAATCAGGACAATCCTATGAGAATAACTGCTATAAGGAATCTATAGCCAGGTGGTGGTTCATACTTTTAATCCCAGCACTTGGGAGGCACACACGGGCACATGAGAATTACAGTGACTTAAAATCAAAAGCTGCTTGGAAAAGGCAGCCTGAAATTTAAAGTGAATATCCTTTGTGACCTAAAAAGAAATACACTTAAACTTTAAATTTATATATAAAGAGGAAAAGGAATTTAGGTATATTTATCCATACATACTAAGATATATTTAGTTTCAAATTTTCAAAATAATTTTTCAAAACTTCAATAGAAAGATAATAGTTCTTCTGTTGTCAAAAACATTTTGCCCTAGGAAAGACATAACTTGCCAAACAAACAAACAAACAAACAAACAAACACCATATAGTTAGGGTTGAGGCAGGGTTTTTGTTTTTATCTTTCCAGGAAAATAAAAACATCCAACTAAAGAATCTGGAGGGCTAGAGAGATGGCTCACAGGTTAGAAGCACTGGCTGTTCTTCCAAAGGTCCCAAGTTCAATTCCCAGCAACCATATGGTAGTTCACAACCATCTGTAATGAGATCTGGTGCCTGCAGGCACAAATGCAGGCAGGGCACTGTATAAATAATAAATAAATAAATCTTAAAAAAAAAAGAATCTGGAGACCACTACACAAATGAAGTCCCTGAAGAAAAAGAATGAAAAACGTCCCAAGAAAAAGAGTAAATTGACCAAGAGGTATCACAGCCCCCAGCTCATCTCTGCTGCCCTCTATAGACATAAATGGCAAATGGTCTTTATGTTGTTGCAATTCAATTAAAAATTAAAGCTGGCCTTGAAGTTGGAGTGTGGCTCTCTCCTTTTTCTAAAACCATGCATGCTTGTTAAAGGAAAATCCAAAATTTCTGTCTTATGTCAGAAGAGCCACTTGGTTTGGGACAGAGGAAAACAAAAAAAAATAAGAAACTATTCCATTGCCACCAATCTCATAATCATTTGGTTTTCATTTGACTCTTTAAAACTTTTCTCAAAGTACAAATATTACCTATTTCTCAAGGTACAAATAAAACCTATATTATATATATAGGTTTTATATATATAGGCATATATATATATAGGCATATATATATATATATATATATATATATATATATATATATATATATATATATGCCTATAAGGTATATATAGATTTTGCCATGATACTAGTAGTCAATTGTAGTAGTAGTGCTAATTGTAGTGCTAATTGTAACTTATCTAGCTTTCTGTATGTGTTTTCAGGTTTGAGTATGAAGTAGGTAACTAGGAACAAGTTTGTGTACCTAAGTCAGATGTACTTGGATCTCAGCACTTGGGAGGCAGAGACAAGCAGATCACTGTGAGTTCAGGGCCAGCCTGGTCTACAAAGCGAGTTCCAGGACAGACAGGGCTAAACACTTGTCTTGAAAAAAAAAAAAAAAAAAAAAAAACCTATGGTCTTCAAAACTTTCAGTTATCTGCTGAATATGACAGTTAAAATGTTTACGTTTTCTACAATAAACCATGAACTTTTTTTGTTTGGTTTTTCAAGACAGGGTTTCTCTGTGTAGCCTTGGCTATCCTGGACTTGCTTTGTAGACCAGGGTGGCCTCAAACTCACAGTGATCCAACTGTGTCTGCTTTCCTGAGTGCTGGGATTTAAGGCCCGTGTCACCCTGCCAGCTACAATGACCATTTTTAACAGTAACCTTTGAGGTCTCCAAGAAGATGATGGGGCCCTACCATGACAAATTCTCCTGGATTGTGGTAACAATAACCACTGGGAAAAACTGCCCCATGCATCTTCTGCTGCCAGGTTCTGTGTAAACAGTGGACACCTTTGGGTTGATTGCTGCATTCTTCCTAGCCAGGATTGCCAGGAACCTAACAAACACATTCCAAATATTAGCTCTGGACTATGAACTGCTCAGGACATTTAAATTGCTGAGTTCATAGGAGACTGACACAAACAATTTTCAGAACTTTGAACTCAAAAATACTTAATCCTAAAACTGCCGAAAACTACCACCCTGAACATTGTTGAAAGCTTGACAGAAATAGCTTCATTATTGTAAACAGTTTTACTGTATTAGAGTTAAAAAAAAAAAATCTTTCCTTTTTATTTAGACAAAAAGGGAGAAGTGTTGTGTGATATTTGATCACACTGTGAACCCTGAGATTGTGTAGTTTACTCAAAAAACCTGTTTTCAGTTGTGGTGTTGCTCAACCCTAGCACACACCTTTAATCCTTGACTATTTCAAACAAGATAAATAGAGTCAACTATAGGTCAAGAGGCAGGGCAAGCAACCAATTGACAGGGAGTAAACACTGGAAAAAAACAGAGAGGAAGAGGAAGTCAGGAAGATGGATAGAGAGACGCAGAGGAGGGACATTGGGTTTGAGGGGACACTGGCTGAGAAGGAAGGTCAGCTGGGTGCTTTCTCTGCCTCTCTGAGCTAGCAGCTTTCACTCCAGCATTTTGCTCCCAAGACTTTATCGGTAAAATCCAGTAATTGAGATTTTGTTAAAAACGACAAACCACCGCAAGTGCTCTCTGATGGGGTATATTGTGTGGAGGTGTGTCTCTGTGTATTCAATGGTTGATTGCTCAACCAGCAGAGAGCTGAGTACTAGCCAGATCTTGGAATTGTTATTTTTATGGCCCATCTCCAGGCCAAATACTTACTTATATTTTGTAAGTATTTGTCCTTCCTCACTTGTCTCTTGGTCATAATAAAGAGCTCATGGCCAATAGCTGGGCAGGAAGTGGGGGGTGGCACTTCCAAGAGAAAGGAAAAAAGAAAGCAAAGGCAGAGATTCGCCAGTGGACACAGAGGTGAAGGGAAGGACCAGAGTGGAGCAGAGAAGTAGAGCCAGCCATGTGGCAGGAGTTAGTGCCAAGAAGTAGTCAGGTTAACCCAGGAGTGGTGGCACACGTCTTTAATCCCAGCGCTCGAGGAGGCAGAGGCAGGCAGATCTCTGTGAGTTCGAGGAAGACTGGTCTACAAAGTGAGTCCAGGGCTGTCAAGGCTACATGGAGAAACCGGTCTCAAAAACCCAAAAAAATAAAATAAAATAAAAGAATTTGTTAGGTTAAGCAAGATAGATGGCTGGAAGACTGCCCCAGCTAAAAGGCCTAAGCATTAGAATATTAAAAAGCCTCTGCATCATTATGTATGCTGGCAGGTCTGAACGGCCAGCTATAGCTCTCCATCATGTCCTCCCACCATGATGAACTGACTGTATCCTCTAACTAAGGATCCCAATAAACATTTCTTTCCTTGAGTTGCTTTTGTTGGCTATTTTGTTTCAACAGTGGAAAAAAATAATTGCTATAATTAAACTGGTATACGCAAACAATACTTTTTTTTTCCAAACAAAGGCTCTCTATTTACTCTGGCTGTCCTGGGACTCACTAAGTAGGCCAGGCAGGCCGAACAATAGAATATTAGTTAACGCTCAAGAGAAATGAGTTATCAAGTCATGAGAAGATGTGGATGAACCTTAGGTGACTTAGTAAGAGCCACAACAGGATATCACTATGTAGCCATCAGAGCATAGCAATTACAAAAAAACCATTGTTGGCCAGGTTATTAAACCATGGGTATACTCGTATTTACACAAAAACCCTACAAATGGCTGCTTATAGTGTCTTTATTTACAATTTCCAAACCTGAGAGCAGGGTGATGTTGTTCAGAGGGTTAATGGATACACTGTGTCCATCCAGAGTAGGCAATGTTAGTCGGTGCTGAGAAGAGCTGACTGTTAGGAGTACAGAGAGGAACAAGTATGTTTGGTTTGGGGCTGAGGAAAGGATCAAATGCATGTTTTCACACATTCTAGGCCACACCCCAACACACATATGGTCAGTTTTAAGGAGTGATACGTTTGCCTCAAATGGTATATTAAATATTAAAACTTTATTAAACAATAAACCCACACAACTATAGCTCAGTTGTTTAAACAGGATGCTGGCCCAGCCAAAGAAAAGATACATATGCTATAAACATTATTTTGAAAACATGCAATTAGTTGTTCAGGCTTAGCCTGCATAATATCATAGGTGAGTCATTATAAAATAAACAATAAATATTACTCAATATAAAGTTTATTCACATGTATAAAAAGTAAATGTAAGAAGAAGTTCATTAAAATAAAACACAATTATGTTTCAGGAAGGCTATGCATTAAAAACTGGGTTGCCTTTTCCAGGTAATACAAATACTGATACGTTTGTACTGGTTAACTTCAAACTGTTAAAGAAATGTTTGTAAACCTAAAACATGGAAGAAACACAATCCATCGGACTGAAGGCATCAACATATATCATACAGGTTCCAGATGACCAGAGACACTATCTACAACAGGTAATGCTTTTTATTTTTTTATTTTAATGAAACATTTTGATTGCATTTATTTACTTGTTGGAGGGTGGTGAATGTGTGTGTGCCGCTGCACGCATGTGGAAGGCATCAGAGAACCTCCTGCAGGAACCTGGGGACTGGACTCAATCGGTCTTGGAAGCAAGTGCCTCTACCCACTGAGCCATCTCTTCAGTTTATTGCCAATTTTTTTTTTTTTCACTTGGGTGTTTTGAATCAGACCCTGGTGCCCTGGTGCCTGTGTGAAGCTCAGTGTGCATTCTGCCACTGTCCCATCAACCTAACACAGTATTTTGGCTTTGCATTTTTCTTTCTTTCCTTGCCTTTTTTTTTTTTTTTGGTCTTATTCTATTCAAGGTGAAGGCTAGCCTTGAACCTGCACCAATCCTTGCCTCAGCTTCTCAAGTACTAGTATTCTGGGTAATTGTCACCATGCCTGTCTCCAAAGATCTAATCTTTCAAAAAAAATTACAGAAATACTAGACATTCCTCTAATAGCATAAATGTCATACATAACATTTGAGATCAAACAACCAGTAAAATTTAATTCACATTTAATTAAAACAAAAATATTATGAATGTGAGCTTTTGTTAAGCACCAGTAAGTCTTTTAGCATTAAACTTCTTTTGTACACTTGGAAGGAGTATACACATAAATAATCTGAGAAATAGAAAAAAAATCTCATTAGAAATTTGGAGACCAATGCAAGGGGAAGGGGGCATTCAAATCAGCGATCTAGTGCCTGTCTAGCATGGTCAAAGCCTTGGGTTTGATTCCCAACAGCAACCCCACCACAAGAAAGAAAAACATTTGGAGGTAACAGAAAACCAAAGGCACAGGGGACCAGGTTTCTCCAGAGCATGAATGGTTCTGAGCATCCCTCCTCCAGCTCCTTACTCAGGAGCACACTGTTTACAGGTGTAAAACTCACACCTGAAGCTTGTACTCTGTCTGTTTTTCAAGACAGGGTCTCTTTCTGTAGCCCTAGCTGTCCTGGAAGCCACTTGTTAGACCAGGCTGGCCTTGAAATTCAGAGATCGCCTGCCTCTGTCTCGCAAGTCCTGGGATCAAAGGCGTGTGTCACCACTGGCTCACGCTTGTGCTCCTTTTTGGTCCTGCCAAAGGCAGAGTTTTATAGTTGTGTCTTTATGAGGGCTATGTGTAAAGAAATTTATGTTCAGCACCAATCCATCCCCCAGAGAAGAAGCAAAAACAAAACAACCAAAAGCCCCATAGTAATTACACAAAATGACTCAGCACCCAACACACCACAGGAAAGAAAAAAGGTCAGTGGAGCAGAAATCTGTGTCAGTGGCTTTACATTGAGAGATTTCCCCTTCAGTTTCCAGGTGCTCATTAATAAAGGTTCTATTACATTTTTTCTTTTGTATTTAAAGTATCATGACATCAAAACTGGATGCTCTAGAAATACCAGTGACTTCAGTTTTAGTGGTGAATTCAAGGTCCCTTCAAGTTAGGGTAGATGACAAGTGTATGACAAAGGTAAGCCAGTGGGAGGTGGTCACAGGTCCTGAAGTTATGTTTGTGGTTAGGCTTGGGGAACATTTCAAATTACAATTCAGTGAAAGTGATGGGGTATGAAGGTGTGTGTAGCCGGGGGCAAAACGCTCCCCTACCTTGAGCAAGGCCATGGGCTCTGGTCCACAGCACCATAAATTTAAAGGACATACTTCATATATATATATATCTTTTTAAAATTATATACTTTAAAGCCAGATGTAGTGGTATACACCTTCAATCCCAGCACTTGGGAGGCAGAGGCAGGCAGATCTCTGAGTTGGAGGCCAGCCTGGTCTACAGAAGGATTTCTAGGACAGAGCTACCCAGAGAAACCCTGTCTCAAAAATCTAAACTAAAACAAAATTAAATTAAAATAAAAAAACCCTATTTTTGATTTACGTATATGCGTGCCTGTCTGTGTGAGGGCATACCACATAAGTGCAATGCCTGCAAAGACCAGAAGGGAGCACTGGATCCCTTGGAGATGGAGTTAGAGATGGCTGTGAATGGCCCAATATGGGTGCTTGGATCCAAAGTTGGGTCCCCTGAAAGAGCAGCAAATGCTCTTAACCACTGAACAATCTCTCTATCCCTCTCATGTTTTTATATCTCTACTTGTCCGGAGCATAATCCTGTAAAGTATGAGATGGGACTAGATAAGCTGGCTTACTCATTTTACCCAGCTCTTACCAACCTGGTAGATTTCAGGCGAGTCATGCCTTAAACCCCGGTTATTACAAATTGAGCAAAGTCAGTTCTAGTAAGCTTTTGAAAAGAGAACTAAAACGAGTGCAAAGCATATAGTTACAATGGAAAAGGTGCTATGGAGTGAAGATATGAAGAACAGCAGAACTTTAGAGGTATAGGTGGCTTAAGAATACCTCTAATTGGGTCAGAGAGATGGCTGAGAGGTTAAGAGCACTGGCTGCTCTTCCAGAGGTCCTGAGCTCAAGTCCCAGCAACCACATGGTGCCTCACAACCATCTGTAATGAGATCTCGTGCCCTCTCGTGGTGTGCAGGCCTATTCAGGCAGAATGCTGTATAAACAATAAATAAATAAATCTTTAAAAAATACTTCTAGTTACAAAGAAGGGTTGCAGATGGTCTGTTGTGACAAGCAGAGTTTGCCGTTCCTTGCCCTGTAACAAGCAAAGGAACTCAGATATACAAGCATGTAGTTAGCGAGTATGTGCCCCAAACTTACAAGTCTTACTCTGATACATTTGTTTTGTTTCATTTTGGTGCTCGGAATCTAATTCAGGGTCCTGCACACATTCGTACATGCTAAGAATGGGCTTTTCCATTAAGCTCCTCTTCTACTTTTTTTTTTTTTTTTCCTCGAGTCAGGGTTTCTCTGTGCCCTGGCTCTCCTAGAACTTGCTTTGTGGTCTCCAACTCACTGAGCTCTGCCTGCCTCTGGCTCCCAAGTGCTGGGTTTAAAGATGTGCACCACCTCATTGACTTATTTATTTATTTATTGAGACAGTGTTTCCCCGAATCTGGAGGCTCCTGATTCAGTTACAGTGGCCCTGAGATTACCAGTATTCACTCAAGTACTCAACATTTTGTTTGTTTTGGTTTTTTGGTTTGTTTTTCTTGTTGTTTGTTTCAAACGTGGGTAATGAGGATTGAACTCATGTCCTTATATTTGCATGGCAAGCACTTTTCCAAGTGAGGCCCATGAATAGTAATTAAAAAAAAAAAAACTCTCTTGACATCTCTTTTTTTTTCCTCTCTCTCTCTCTCTCTCTCTCTCTTTTTTTCAAGACAAGGTTTCTCTGTGTGGTCTCGGTTGTCCTGGACTTTGTAGACCAGGCTGTCCTTCAGCTCACAGAGATCTGCCTGCCTGTGCCTCCCTGAGTGCTGGGATTACAAGTGTGCGCTACCACGCCTAGCTGATTCCTCTTACTACACTGAAACATGATCGATGGATAGTGAGGGAACAAAACGAAGACATGCAAATTGGCTGAATCCTCTGCACTAATTAAAACAGAAAATCTAGTGATTGTATCAAGGCCACAGATTTATACCAAAATGTCAAATTCTATGAAGTATTTCTAGCCAAAAAGAAATCTTAATGAAGAGAAGATCCAATATCATGACTTAAGACTGAAAATTCCTACTTTGTTAATTCTAATTATTCTATTAATAACAAACTTTGTTTTGAGACAGCGTCCTGACAGGGCCCAGGCTGGCCTTGAACTCTCATCCCTCCCACCTAAGTCTCCTGAATGTGGGGATTATAGGCACTTAGCTGTAGCAAAAATGTTTGAACCAGTACAGTATACATTGCAAAAAGGCACTTTCTTCTTAACTTCGAGGAAGCATGGTAGAAGTCTCTTACCAAGACAGCAATCCAGTTGGGGGCAGAGCTGAAAGCAGGGCTGTGGTGAATTCTGTTCTGTATATATCGTTCCTTTATTCCTTGCGCTTTGTCATAAAAAACTGAACAGGCAAATTTTTTTGTTGTTGTTGTTTCAGGAAGAACAAATTATTCAGACCACAGCAAGGCGGCAAGGTGGGCTTAGTGAGATGGGAGTGACATGGACTTTTTAAATACCCTAAATCCTTTTGCTGGCCCAGGATATGGAGGTGGTGGTGAGATACTGTGTTTTCTGGTCAGTGCTACTGCCTGTTCATAGGAAGGTAGTCCCGTGTCCTCTGAGGATGACGATGGAGACAAGACAGCTTCCTCATGGGTTCTGAAAATGATGGATGGTGTGTGTCTGGCCCTTCTTGTGTAGACAGCTGAAGAACTAAACAGAGAGATAACATTTAGGTTTAAGAGCGGTACATTTCTGGGTTAACACGGTGACATTAAAAAATTTCCAGAAGCCAGGCTGTGGTGGCAAATGCCTTTAATCCCAGCCCGCAGGAGGCATAGGTAGTCAGATCTCTGCGTTAAAGGCCAACCTTGTCTACAGAGTTCCAGGGCAGACAGACAGAGAAACCCTGTCTCAAGTTAAAAAGGAAAGGAAAGAAAAGAAAATGAAACTCACCATTTCAGCTGGACTGTACTCAGGATCCAAGTGTCTCTCCCTCCTCAGCACAGTCACAAACATCCACTGCCATACTCAACTTTTTGAATATATTTATTTATATTTGTATTTATGTCTATGACTGTCTTGCCTGCATATATGTATATGCAACACTTGGGTCCATGCACTTTCATAGCAAGCACCTCATCCACTGAACTATCTTCCCAGTCCCAGTTTAGAAGTTTTTGTTTGTTTGTTTATACAGAGCCCTGGTTGTGCTAGAACTCTCAATGTAGACCAGGCTGGTCTTGAAATAGGGAGATCTGTCTGCCTCTGCATCCCAAGTCCTAGAATCAAAGGCATTCGCTACTAAGCCCATTTTTAGCAAGAGACCCTATTTCAAAAAATGAGGAAGAGAAGCAATTGAGAAAGACATCTGATGTTGACCTCTGGCTTCCAAACATATTCATATAAGACCGTGAACCAAACAACACATGTGCACACATCCATATAACACACACACAAACCCATTGGTGGGTACAAACCAATGGTACAAACTGGACATAGTGGCCCATTTACAAAACTATTAGCACTTGGGAGGTGGAAACAGGAGGATCAGGAATTCAAGGCTGTCCTATAGTAAATTTAAGTACGGCCTGTTACACTTGAGGCCATGTCTAAAAAAAAGAAAAATGCAGTCGGTATGGTAAAAACCTTTAATCCCAGCACTCAGGAGGCAGAGGCAGGAGGATCGCTGAGTTTGAAGCCAGCCTGCTCTACAGAGTGAGTTCCAAGACACCCAGGGCTACACAGAGAAACACTGTCTTGAAAAACAAAAGCAAGCAAACAAACAAAAAACCCAACTGTTTTTGATACCTTTTAACCCAATCCATTAATATCACGGCAAGTTTACTTTACGCATGGAGGCCCACATTAGTCTTTCTACTTGGCATAATAGAAACATTAAGAGCTTTGAAGTCTTTCTTGGGTCAGATGTGGGTCTGAAACTAGACTCTGTCATCCTGTGATCAAAGCCAAGTTCCCTGACTCAGTTTCCTTGTCTCTGAAATGAGGATAATGATGCTGCCCCCACAGAGTTGGTGTGGACTGAGTAGGATGTTTGATTTGTAAGGTTTCCAGCAGTGAAGTCCTCCTTTTCTTGCTCCTAAAATCAAATCACAGCTTTGCTGGGAGGAGGCTCAACACCACGCCAAGAAGATGACGCCACAGAGGTACTTCTGCAGCCCTGTTGCCTGGCTCACCCTTGACCCTTCCCAAGCAGTATGTAGGGAAGTCATGTAGTCTAGAAATGACCTGCTTTCCACAGTTATGTAACTAGTGATACTTCTTTTCCCTTACTCTGACTTCACCGTATATATCATAACTTTCTTTTCTGCTATAAATTCAAAATTCTCAGGCCCCCCATTTTCTCTTTTCTTCTCTTTTCACTTACTTCTCCTCTCTTCCCTTGCCCCAATCCCTTCCCACACTCCCCTCCCCTTCTCTCTCTCTCTCTTTCCTTAAACAGAGTCTCATGTAGCTCAAACTGGCCTCAAACTCACCATGTAGTTAAGGATGACCTTGAACTCCTGCCTCAGCATTGAGATTATAGGCATGTACTACCATGCTCTATGCAGTGCTGGGGACTGAACCATTGACTTCAATCTATGATCTGAGCTACATCCCCTTGACTGGCCTTGTTTTATTCTGGGAATGCTGTCTTTTTCTTCTCTCTGGCTTTAGTTACCTGGGTCCTACATATTAAAGCAGTAGCCTGGTGTGTGTAAAAATGTGGGTGCCATCCTCTGCATTGAAACACACAAAAAAGACTTAGTTCTAGTCTAACCTCTTCTCTTCGCCTGTCTTCTCTTCAGATTGGGATTGAAGCCAGAGTCTTGAGCTACTAGACAAGAGCTGTACCACTGAGTCACGATCTCTAGTCATCTGAAAACTTTGGGAGAGACAGGGTCTTTCCAGGCTGCTAAGCCAGCCTTGAACTCACCATTATAACAACTCCATCCTCCTGCCTCGATCCAGAATTGTGGATTTGTACCAACACACCCAACAAATTCTAACAATTCCGTACACCCTTCTCAGTCAGTAAAAGCTAAAATGCCACGTGCGTCTGATATTTTCAACCTATGCTTTTCCATTTTCTCCTGTGAATTTTAAACTACACTAAAAATTTTAAGCTACATTTGTTTGTGTGTATATATGTATACATATGTATACACACACACAGCCCACAGTGGACTTGGGGAAGTCTGAGAACAACTTTTTCAATCAATTCTCTTCTACCATTTAAATCTCAAGGATTGAACCTGGGTCATCAGGATTGGTGGTAAGTGCCTTTACCCACGGAGCCATCTTGCTAGTCCATCACCTGCAATTTAAATATTAGCAACCTGAGCTTTTTAGACTGTGAAGTTGGATGACTATATAAAGTATCAGTACATAAGTTAACCTCCTATAGTTAAGGGTAATAAAATGATTGAGATTCAAAGACAATTTTGACTAACCTCTAGTCCATGGTATTTTTTCTGACTGAAGGAGAGTTAACTTGGGTCTGGGGAGTTGGCTTAGGGTCCAGTTTGTCTGGAAACCCTGATGACCTGAGTTTGGATTCCCAGAGCTATGCAGAAGCCAGACATAGCAGCACAGGCATGTGCTAGCCCAGCATGCTCCCTGTCATGTCAGGGGATGGAATTTGTCTGTCCTCTATGGAGAACAAGTCCTTTATCTTTTTACAGCTTGCCTTTTGCTGTTTGCTCTTAACTGCTGAGCCATCTCTTCAGGTCTTTAACATCTTTAACATCTTTGAACTAAAGTATTATCTTACTCTGTCAAGTCCAAATTTCATTTTTCCCCTAGTCCTTCAGCCAGAAGTCAAGACTGAACTCACATTCTCTCTGCATCTCCTCCAGCTTTCTCCTAGCCACCAAGTCTCCCAGCTCCTCTTCCCTTAGAGACAAGCCCAGACTTCTGACCTCCCTTGGGGATTCCACGCTGGCACCCCAGTGGGCACTCCTCTACCCTACAGGTTCTACCTGCTCTGCTTTGTATTATTTAAGCAAAGTGCCATCTTCCCCACACTGAGATTACCCAGCCCTTTTGTATGTTTAAATTTGGACTCTCTCTCTCCCTCCCTGACCTTCTCTCTTTGCTTTAACCAAATGGTAATCACTCTATGTCTTCTTTGAACGCCTTTCACTTTATATGCTGGTAGACTTTCAAGGATATAAAAGTCTATTCATATTTAAAATGTATGTCTAACTACTGATGCCTTAGCTAGTTCTTAGATGCATGAATAAATGCTGTTTCTCCTGCCACCAACTGCCTATGCTCGGGGTCCACCTCTGGCCAATGGATTTGGTATAATAAATGCAAATGTATTTTAAAGTTGTTTTATACTGTTTTAATGTATTACTGACTCTAGAAGCAAGTTACTGTTCACACCTTCTCAGACCCAGGCATGTTTTAAAGTCCAGGCTATGGTTGAACTCATAACTCAAGGTTACTAATTAAAAGTTTGTGCTTAGATAATCTTAAACCATGTGATATAACTCCAAAGATTCTTTTACATTGGGATGTATTAATTCTAGAGACATTCAATGGTTTACAGTATCAGAACTTGGTTATTATGCTCTCCCTTCACTATCAAAAGGTTAAAAATCACTGCCTCAAAAACATGTTATTTTTGCTAATGTTGCTTTAGATTTTAGACTTTAGATTTTTATAAGCTATAGACCTTTTATAAACTAAATCATACAGGAAACTGTTATGCTTTCTCTTTATGGGCTATGTTCATGACTTTTAAGGCTCCAACTTAATAAGGATAAAACCTAAAGTCCTAGTCTTTAATGATTAAGAAATGCAAGTTAATAGTTACTCATCTTATAAATGATCAAGGACCAATGTGATTGACTGCAGGAGTAAGCTTTATCCGGCCTCCTGTACATGTTTTCAAAGTTAAACAGAAAGTAAAGCTTGTCTGTTTAAATCTACTTGAGATAAACATGGTCCTGAAACACTTATCTGCAAAATATGTCATAATTACAGATAATAACATTGTGTTTAATGTTTCCAAAGTATAGTTTAGAGCAGATTACTAAAGACAGACAAAGACAGCTTAACTCAAGTATGCTGGCCCTCGATTTGGCTACAATAGATGACTTCAACCCTAGATTGTGGTATGCTAACCACAGGGAAAGACTGCCCCCAAAGCCTTGCCTGCTGCTAGGGCCTAGCCTGATCTGTGGACAAACTGGACACCCAGAGAGTAATTGTCTCACATTGCTGAAAATGAGGTGAGGTCAGTCTCTCCCATGTTCTTTCTCCACAGAAAAAGCCTCTCATCTTCTGGCCAGACTGCCTCTGCCCACATTGACAGGAAGACCCCAAGAAGGTAGTATGCTATGGACTGACTAATCATCTCTGTCATTTTGATTGGTACATAGATTCATTTAGATTACAATTTATCCTTTTCAGATCTCTGGTTATGTTGATGGCTAAACTAATGGTAGCTTGCCAACTAGAAACAGGCAATTAGTTCCTTATCCCAAGGTAATCCACCATGTTGTTTATTAGTCGATTCATTAGCTAGTTAAAAAATACTAAACACTAGATCTCTTATTTAAAAGGAAAACAGATATGCCTTGCTTCTAGGCCCAGATAGTTATAAAACAATTTATATAAAAAGAATAAAAAAATGCTTCAGAGTTCTTCCTGTTGCTATGCTACTGTGGTATTAAGACTGTTCAGAGCTTTGACAATAATCACTGTGGCTCTGATTTATTAATCTACCTCTGATACAACATTCCACTATACGATCCATTATCATGGTTCCGAGCTCAAGTTTTTAAAATTTCCTTTAGTTTGTCTTGTAAGTATAGGCTTAAAACTGTTTCTCATTGTGCTAGACTTACATACTTCCAGTCTTCTGGAAGCAGCTCCTCTGTAACAGAAGTCTTGGTTTCTTTGTAAACTCAGTTACGTTATGTAAATATGTTTTTGTTTTCATCCCAAGTGTGAGAGTTTAGTTAGTCTAGAGTTTGTCCACAGCTGTGAATTGTCTCCTGCAGGGTGTGGCTTTTCTTAGCTGGTAACGGCCTACCTCGTGCCATCTGCAGCACGGGGAGGGGCATGGTCCAGGACTCTGGGGGGTATAAATTTGAAAGCCCAGAAAGTGGCATGGGGCATGCAGTTTTGGTCTGTAGCAGTTTGGAGAGACCTGAGAGACGGATGGTGTGTCAGTTTGGAGCAGACAGAGAGATAGGCTTCGAGGCTCAGTGGCTTGAAGGAGTCTGCTGGCTGCATCTGCTGTTGATGGAGACTGGCATAGTCCCCAAAGAACCACTAGACCCTGAACAGCCAGGAGAAGTAAAGGTACCCTCTCAACTCACTAACCTTCTCTCTCCTACATAGGATTAGGAGGTTGGAAGGGAGGTAGAGGCTTAAACAACCCAAATAAAGCAGAGTTTTAAAATGAACACTACACCCCTCTTTCATGATGTGTCATCACACTGAAAATCAAGACCAAGTGAGCTTTTGCCCTTTCTGCTTCACGGAAGAGCGCTCATGCTTTTAACCCCAAATCATTTCCCAAACCCCTACTGTGCTATGACACAAAGATGTACATGCCTACTGCTTTTTTTCTACAATGTGTATTTCACTACCAATTGCAAACAGTGGTGATGCTAACATGTTTAAAACTCATCATCTTTTTAAACGTAAAAAGGATTCTTGTAAGCCTCAGAAAATCCATCCAAATCCATCAGATGGACTCCAGATAAGTACTGCCAATCAAAACCTAAGTTTACCACTTATTCCCTATTTCAGAGCATGGAACTCCTCCCCACCAACTACCAAAACCATGGTAAAACCGAAAGTTTCAAATGTGCACCTGAATTTTTTTTTCTCCCTAACCTACTTAACTCTGTCTTCTGCCCATATATATGTTCCAGTATCCTGTCAAGTCCAGATGTTTCCTATATCCATAACAGTACCAAAGCAGCTACCCACGGTGCTCCAGTCTAACCTTGCAGATTGTGTCAGCTGGACCTGCATATTCCCTCCCAGCTGCCGATGTCCTCAGATCCTAGACAGCAAGTAGGACAGCCTGCTCTTTCCAAACTTGGCCAGCATTTCAGCCTTTTGGCCCCTCCCCGTCACTGTCCCAATGTCAGCAGGAAGTAGTCAAAGATGATTTCTTTACCCCTTACCCACTTATTATCAACAAAATGCTAGAATGATGTACTTCAGATCTGGGACAAGAAGCTCCAGGTTCTCCCAGCATTCTTCTGTCCCTACCTGCTGCAGGGCATGGCTGCCATGGCTGGCATGGCCCGGCATACCCAGCCCTCCCCCTTTACCATATAATCTTGCTTCCCCCTCCCCTCCTCTCCCTCTCCTCTCCCCTTTTGCATGGTGGCCAAGAGCTGCTTCCAATGAACCTGCATTTATACACTTGAACTTGTCCTGCATGAGAAGCAGTCCAATGTCTTCATTCCTGCCTTGCCACCCCTTCCTAGTTCCTCATTTTTTGATTAAACGAAAATGGAGGAATGTTATTCCAGTAGCCTGCCTCTAGGCTGCCTAGCAACTTCTGATGTCATCACCTGCCAAAGCCAAGTACACACCAGGTGCATGGGGTATATGAATCCGCCTGCTACCCTGTGCGTTCTCTCTCTCATTCCCTCAGTTTCTCTTTCTTTCTCTGTCTCTCAGTTTCTCTCTGGGGTGCATCCCCCTCTCACTCTCTCCTCTTCCCCTTTTCCCCACAATAAACTTTCTTATACCAAATATGTTTCGGTAGATTCTTATTATTATAACACTATTTCTCCTTAATCAGTAATAATTTTGTTTTACTAACTCTAAGGTATCAATAATAGTTGAAAGCCAGTTTCACAACCACCCCCACCCTTAAAACAAGGCGTTATATGTCTCAGACTGGCATCCCGTTTGTTACATAGCCATGGATGATCCTGAACTTCTGATCCTCCTGCCTCCCCCTCACTAGTACCAGTATTTGTAGCACCAGCCACTGCCCCAGGTGTGTGTGGTGCTGGGGATTGAATCCAGGGCTTCTCGTACCCTAGGAAAACAGTCCAGCAACCGAGCGGCACCCCCTCCCCTGAGTTATTTTGCTTCTGCCACACAGATCTGTGAAGTCTGTGACTCAGTTAACCATCGGACTTTCTGTTTCTGAAAATAATGGGGTAGTGGTGTCCCAAGGAGTGGCGCATACATGTTAGGCAAATGCTCCACGGCTGAGCTGTAGCTCTGGGCTTTGGGTTCTTGAAATGAATCTCTGCATGTAGCCCAGATCAGTAATGAATTCGAATCCTTTTCCTCGCATCCTGAGTGCTGGGACTATAGCTATGGGCTCCTATCCCTAGATCTTGTATTCTTTTGAAAGATCTTAGAAATAGCATATGTTTGTCATTACAAACAGGTGCCCACATACATACACAATAAATAAATAAGTGCATTTTAAATATTTTAGAAATAGCATCATTAGGTTGTTAATTTGGTTATCAGAACATCAAACATCTGTCAGCCTAGAGTCTGAGAAGTCAATCCTTAAGTGTAGTATGGGGCCTTAACTGGCCCTGAAGTAGAGAGAGGACACTAACAGAGATACTGGCAAATTATAAATCTAGTTTAGTTAATAATAATGTTATAATGTTTCTCTGTGTGTGTGTGTGTGTGTGTGCTTGAGGTCAACATCAGTGTTTTCCTTACTTACTCTCCACTGTATTGTTTGAGACAGGGTCTCTCACTGAACTGGAAGTTGCTAGTTAAGCCAGGTTGGTGACCCATAGGGAGCCTCTGTCCCTACCTCCCTGAAGCTGGGGTTACAGGCTCATGCTGCCACAGTAAACTTTTCTAGTTGCTGGCAATCTGAACTCAGGTCTTAGGCTTGTTCAGAAAGGGCTTTACTGAGTGAGCCATTATCTTTGGCACTATTTTCTTAGTTTTGACAGATCTACTCTGGTAACGTAATTGGAAGTAATGGAAGAAACAGAGTAAAGGGTGCATGAAAATTCTCTGTATACTGTCTTTGCAATCTTCTTTATTATCTAAGATTATTCTAAAATAAAGAACTAAAAACAAAAGGTATCAGTTTGAGTCAATTAAAAATAACAGTACAGAATGCACAGTAATGAAGTTAACATTTCGACTTACCCTTGATATGGCTGCCTATTACACTTGGTGATACACAGATAGTAACCAAGTAAGCCAAAAACAACCAAGAATACTCCAGCTGCAATTAAGCCAGTCAGAAGGCCCATAACATCAATTTTCTCTTTGTTGACATCTTTAAAAAAAAAAACCAAACATTCAAATAAATTAATAGCACGACTGAAAAGCAGCATCCATAATAACAACACACACATTGTTAAGAATCTTGTCACTGGGAAGGGAGGGATTGGGAGGGGAGGAGGATGGAGCTACAGGAGGGATACAAAGTGAATAAAGTGTAATTAAAGAATCTTGTCATTGATAATCTTGAGACAGAGTTGCCCTATTTAGCCCTGGCTGTCCTGGAACTCACTCTGTAGACCAGGCTGGACTGGAACTCACAGAGATCCACCCACCTCTGCCTCCAGAGCGCTGGGACTAAAGGCATGCGCCACCATGTGGCCAGGAGATACCGATTTATCTTAAAGTCTTTGTGATAGAGATTCTACCTGAAAAAAAAAATGTAAGCGATATTTGTTCGTTTACATTTATATTTCTTTTTAAAAAAATATTTATTTATTGTGTGTGTGGGGGGCTTGTCAGGACACATGTGTCTACATCAGAAAACAATTTTTGAGAGTTGGTTTTTCTCCTCCTACCATGCTAGTCCTGAGAGTTGAACTCAGGTTTGATGGCAAGCATCTTTACCCACTGAGCCATCTTGCCAGCTCTTAAATAGGATTTCTTAGATACCTAATTATGTTTATTCTTTCAGTTATTTAAATAGGTCGTATTACAGGGATAATATGCAACAGTAAGTGGGATAAACATGTATTTTGCTCAGCGAGATATATTTTGGTACATTTATCAGCTGACCTTGTAGTGGTCTCCTACAGGAGGAGCCTACTGAAGAGGAATGAAAGAATCAAGGGGAAGATTAATTAAACAAGGGACCAAAACGTAGCTAGAAGGAAGAAAGGTAGAAAGAATTTTTAAAAAATTGCTTAGCAGGAACAAAATGACAATCAGATAGTTCTATTGTTCTGTAGCATGTTGGGGTAGCTATTGTTGATACTCATTGGCTATTTCAAAATAGAAGATTTTGTGTATTAGCACCTCAAAGGACAAGTGTCTGATGTGCGAGATACGCTAAGTGCCCCGATTTGATTGCCACACATTGTACATAGGTGTTAAAAGTACCACACTTTATTCCATAAATTGGTACAATTATGATCCAATTATTAAAACGAAAAGAAAGCAGCTTGAGATGACCAACCCAGGTAAGACCAAAGGCTTTCCCTTCGCCAGAAGTTACTTACTTCTCCTGCTCTCCTGTTTTTGTTTTTGTTTTGTTTTTTTTTTTGTTTTTCGGTACTGGAGACTGAGCCCAGACTTTAGTACATGCTGGGCCTGTATTCTACTGCTGATATACATCTTTAGTCCTTCTCTTCTTCCTGCTCCCAGGGTGGTGTGGGGCCTCCCAGAGCCCAGGCTGGCCTGGAATTCACTATGTAGCTGAGGAAGGTGATTAATGAGATTATAGTTGTACACCACCATACCCTGTTTTTATGCTGTCTATGTTGAGGCTCAAACCTGAGGCTTCAGGCAAGCACTCTAGCAGCTGGGCTACCTTCAGCTCTGCATGGCGTTCGTGTGTGTGTGTGTGTGTGTGTGTGTGTGTGTGTGTTTTGCTGGGGATCAAGCCTAGGGATATGGGGTTGCTAGGTAAACACTTATGACCTAAGCTTCAGCCCCAGCCCTACCTTCAACCTCATCCAGCAGTCAATCTCATTTCCGCAGGTATTATGTTCACTTGTAATGGTAACAAGAAAACCAGTTTATAAGCTGAAACTAACAGACTCCTACTTTTGTGCAAGTTTTAACTCCGCTGAGCTGCCTAAAACCCCTATTACCTCATTTCCCTACTATCTCGCCAAACTTGATTTTCAGTGTGTAAACAGACGAAGGTGGCCTCCTGTCTCCCATAGCCCAGTGTATTATTGAGAAACCATCCTCGGCATGCGTGTTGAGCAACAGCCAAACTCAAACATACAAACTGAAACATGTCACAATGGCGGGAGGTGAGGGAAGCATTACACGCCAGCAGTTTTTTGCCTCACCTGATCTTGTGGTTGGTCCTTTGACTGAATATTCCTGCCAGAATGTGATCTGAAAACAAAAGATGAAACATTTCAAGTTTATGTAATTTGTTATCATTTCATTTGTTCCCGGTGGCCTAGATTGGAGGCGGTAAGCTCTTGGCACGGGACACAGGCAGAATAGCAGTTCATTCAAGTTCCAGGGAGTGACTCACCCTGCTGTGTCTGCTGTCCGGTTAGTTGGGATCCCTAGCTACCATGTTCCCTTACCCAGCTGGGGCTCTCTCTAAGAGAGTGGGGACTGCCACATTTGAGAGGCAGCAAGAGTAGCAAATGGGGGGAGTTGAGGCTGATCATCTTTGAAAAGCAGTCCTGATTTTCTGCCCTGGGCGTGTGGGGCTCGGTTTGCTAGGAGAGTTGAGTTTACTGACTTGCAAAGTTACCCCTGCAGCAGTTTAAGTTGCATGTGCTTTGAAATAATAGAAGGTTGTTTGTTTGAGGAAGCATGATTAAATTAGAATTTTTTAAATTTTGAAAAACATAATTAAATCCTAAGAGGCACAACTACAAAGTGTCATCTTTGTTTTCTCACCTTAATACATGTAGCAATAGGAAATGAGTGGCTGGGATGGACTATGGAAGAATGAATAGTTAGGTCTTCTCACTAGGACTGAAGGATCCCTGGGGAGCTTCTTATTCAGCAAAGAGCAAAGGATGCTTGAGGAATGAGAGCAGGCAGCGGCCTTGCTCACCCACAGAGGAAGCCTAGCACTCTGGTTCCTCCAGAAGATTCCGTATTACAGCAGGCACCTGGCCACCTGTCTGCACTCTGTATTGCCTAGGCTAACAGGCAGGGTGTACTCCTATTTCAATGGAGAATTTTTAGAACATTGGGGGCTGGAGAGATGGCTCAGTAGATTAAGAACACTTGTTGCTCTTGCTGAGGACCCAGGTTCAGTTCTTAGCAACCACATGGCTCACAATCATCCCTAACTCCAGTTCTTGGGGGCTGGAAAGTCCCTTCCTCTAACCGCCTAAGGCACTTGAAAGCATGTGATGCGGACATACATGTAGACAAAACACTCATTCGCATAAAAAATAGGGAATTAATTTTTAAAGTAGCCTTTTTCTTCCTTAGGCCACGTATAGTGACTGGTGCATGCTTTTAATTCCGGCATTCAGGAGGCAGAGGCAGGAAGATCTCCACTTACTGAGACCCCCCAACTAAAAAAAAAAAAAAAATTCCTCCCTTAAGTTATACAGACAAATCAATGAAACCTTAAATACCAGAGGCCACTTTACATCCTCAGGGCCCAAAGCTAGAGAGACAGCTCAGTGGTTGAGCGGGCTTGCTCATGAAGACCAGAGCTCAGGCCCCAGCACTCAGACAATAAACAGTACATCCCCTAAACACCCTAAACTCCAACTCCTTGGAGTCTGACATTCTCTTCTAGCCTTATGTACACAGGTACCCACACCCCCACACACTATGGGAATGGTATAAGTATGCATACAGACAGAGATATACACAGAAATAAATAAAAAAAACCCTTAACATCCTCAGTGCCTGGCGCAGAGGAGTAAAATTGCTGAAATATAGATATGGGCAATTAAAAAAAAAAAATGAAAGTCACTGAGAGGAAAAGTGTGCAAAGTCTTAAAGGACTGATGCTCAAGCCAAAGGACTAACTCCAATAATGTCTTAGCAGTGTTGCTGGAGGCGGAAGCCAGGGGCTTTCTAGTGCTGTGTCCTCTGAGCCACCTTCAAATAACATCTTGAATTAAAATCCACCTGCCCTGAGACTATTTTTTAATATAATAAGCACTGAACACATGGTCAGGCCTGGTGGCACATGCCTTTAATTCCAGCACTTGAGAGGCTGAGGCAGGAGGAGCTCTGTGAGTTTGAGCGCAGTGTTTTCTACATAGGAAGTTCTAAGAAATCCAGAACTATTCAAAGAGACCATGCCTCAAAACAAAAAAACCAAACAAATTAATTAATTAATTAACTACAAAATGTTAAACACAGAACCACAGCACAGCACGTAATTTGCTAGTTACTATTAACCCAGTTAGTTAAGTACAAAGCCAACTTTAAAGGGGCTTACTTAGCATTTTAAGAAGTGGGAAGAGGCAACAGGCATATGAGTTTGATTTGGTTTAAAGCACATAGCTCTACCATGTATTTAGTTCCACTGTCTCAAAGTATAACGAAGTAGCTTTCCAGGTGGTTGACATCACTAGACAAATTACCATTTCTTCGTCGTCCCCGAGGATCTCTCTGGCTTCTTCATAATTACAGAACTCCTCATAGCACTCTCTCTCCAGGTTCCCAGGAGTGAAGAGTTCTAAATCAAATCTATTGTACAGGAGGCGACGGTGCATAAAAATGCTTGCTGCTTTTTTTGATGCAAAGACTAATAAAAATAAAAAATAAAAAAAGATTTCAAATACAATAAAGATAAGGCAGAAACTTTGTTTTTAATTGGAGAAAAAAATTATTCTCTTGGCATGAATAAAAAACTGTACCAGGCTATCCTGATTAACTTTCAGCTTGGACCCCACAAGTAGCATCTGTAAAATGGCTTCTGGGAAATGTTGGCAATTCCACCCAATACATGAATTGTTTATGCCCCAAGTTAACATAAATAAAAATATTAACATGTCAGTTATCCTTCCAGGCGATATTTTTTTCCCTGTAAATAGCAGATGAAATCACTCTATTTCCAAAGGTTGTTTCCCTGTTAATTTTCCTTCCTTCCTTTTCTTCTTTACAATGCTAGAATCCAACCCAGAGCCTTAATGATATTACTATGCTTTTTGGCATGTTTGTGTGTGTGTGTGTGTGTGTGTGTGTGTGTGTGTGTGTTGTGTTTGTGATATGTGTGCTTTTGTGTTGGTATACCTACCAAGATGGAGGCCAGAAAAAAATGTTAGGTGTCCTATCTCTCTCCATCGTATTCTTTGAGGCAGAGTTTCTCATTGAACCTGAAAATTCATAACTTTTGGCTATTCTGGCTGGCCATCAAACTCCCAGAATCCACCTGTCTCTCCTTTTACAGTGCCGGGGTCACGGGTGCACAAATGGCTATTCTTGGCTTTTACATGAGTGATGTGGACCAAAACTGAAGTTATCGGGCTTGCATAACAAGAGCTCTCACCCACTAAGCCGTCTCCCCAGCCCCAAATTAATGTTTTTATACTGAAGGTTTTATATAAGCTTCTACTGAAAGAATTCTAAACTTCCAAGTTTATAAGATTATAGGCTAATTACAAGATTAACATAGAGCCATTCAGTCCATCCCAAAGGAATAGCTGTGTCCCTCATTCGTCCTCCCCTACAGATAGGTGTCCACCATACTCTGTGGGAATTCTTCCACATTTGCTGAGAAATATAATAAGGTGGAGCATGTGAGAGGGTAAGGCAAGAGGAGCTTGAACTGAAAGTCAGCCTGGGCCACACAGCAAGATTGACAGCAAAAAAGGAGAGGGAAGGAGTAGGAATGTGACTTGTGAGTTTTGTAACCTCAGGTTAGCCATTATTATTTTTTCTTTTTGTTTTCTCTTAATTTTGCTTGGATTTTCAAGATAGGGTTTCTCTGTGTAGCCTCAGCTGTCCTGGACTTGATCTGTAGATAGGCTGGCCTTGAACTCACAGAGATCTCCCTGCCTCTGCCTCCCTGGGAGCTAGGATTACAGGCGTAAAGGGGGCAAGGCCGGCCATTATTCTTAGTGTCATAAGAATACTCATATTTTGCCCAAGATACTTTTCTATACATTAACTATCTAAGTTAGAATCTTCTAGATCTGTCTTGGCTAGTGCAGGAGTTCCTGGCCATATACGGCTAGCAACCACTAAAGAAATGGCTAGTCTGAGTTATAAATCACACGGAGAGAATTTTAGATTTCATATTGAAAAACATGTGAAAGAACTCAGGTAAGTTTTAGATTGTGTATATTTTGGAAGTGCATTATGGACATTAGGAAGAATTAAAAACATTATTAAACCTACTATTAAACAAATTAACACATTATTTCACCTACTTCTTTTTGCTTGTTATTTTATTTTTTGCTTTAATTAATTCATTTTCGAGGCAGGGTCTTCCTATGTGGTTCTGGCTGGCCTGGAACTTGTTATGTATTACAGAGCTATACCAGGAGTGCTGCGATCAAAGGTACACACCACCATGCCTGGCTTCTTTTTGCTTTTTATTTTTATTTTTTTAAAGATTTGTTTATTTTATGTATATGAGTGCTCTATATGCATATACACCTGCACGCCAGAAGAGGGCATCAGATTACGTTATAGATGGTTGTGAGCCACCATGTGGTTGCCAGGAATTGAACTCAGGACCTCTGCAAGAACAGCTAGTGTTCTTAACCGCTGAGCCATCTCTCCAACCCTCTTTTTATTTTTAAATTATGCCTATTAAAAAAAAACATTTACATGATTCACATAGTTTTTCTTTTCTTTCTTTAGGTTTTTTTGTTTTGTTTTGTTTTGTTTTGTTTTGTTTTCAAGACAGCATTTCTCTGTATAGCCCTGGCTGTCCTGGACTTCTTGCTACTTGCTTTGTAGACCAGGCTGGCCTTGAACTCACAGAGATCCACCTGCCTCTGCCTCCCATTCTTTTCTTATCATCATTCCAGGGTGTCCAGCTATTTCTTACTCTTTTTTTTTTTTTTTTTTTGGCAATGTTGGAGATTGAAGCCAGGGTCGCACGTGCTGGGATAGCACTCTACCCTGGAGCCACAGGCCTGGTCCTCGTGCCAGTTGTTCAATTAGAACAACGCAAAAGCTGTTGGAACCAAGGGGAAATGATAATGGAACAACTGGTGACAGTTGCTCTATCTCATGAGACAGAGAGGCCGGGATCCCTGGACACTCTTGTTCTTTCTCCACTGTCCTCTAGAGATTCTTTGCTCTGTCAGAGGTGGAATGACAACTTTCTGAAGCCTCCATTGCCTGCAATGGGCAAAGTAGCCAGAGAGATTGTTTAAGAAATGTTTTTTGGGCTGGAGAGATGGCTCGGAAGTTAAGAGCACTGGCTGTTCTTCCAAAGGTCCTGAGTTCAATTCCCAGCAACCACATGGTGGCTCACAACCGTCTATAAGAGGTCTGGTGCCTTCTTCTGGCCTGCAGACAGGATATTGTATAAATGATAAATAAATAAATCTTAAAAAAAAAAAAAATGTTTTAACTGGGAGTGGTGGTGCACACCTTTAATCCCAGCACTCAGGATACAGAGGCAGGCAGATCTCTGTCAGTTCCAGGACATGGAGGAAAATGTCGAGAGACCTTGTCTTGAAAAAAAGAGAAGTTTTAAATGTGTGTGTATGTGTGCAATGTATGTTTGTATAGAAATGTGTATACATGTGGGTATGCTCATGCCATGGCATGTTTGAGGACAATATTCAGGAGTCTACGTAGCAAGTTCTAGAATATCCAGGGCCACACAGACAGACCTTGTCTCAAAAAAAAAAAAAAAAAAAATCAATTTTTTTTCCAGGTATGGTGGCAAAAACCTTTAATCTCAGCACTCAGAAGGCATGGGCAAGTGACTCTCTCTGAGCTTGAGGCCAGCCTGGTCTACATGGCAAGTTCCAGGCCAATCAGGGCAACATGTCGAGACCCTGTCTGAAAATAATAAATAAAAGTAAACAATTTAAAAAAAACCTCAAACATTTTTCCTATTTTGCCTTCTCATACTTTTCTAGTATCATTCTCAGAGAGTTAATAATAATATTCCATTAAAAAAAATAAAAAGAACCCTGGGCTGGAGAGACAGCTCAGAGGTTAAGAACACCGGCTGCTCTTTCAGATGTCCTGAGTTCAATTCCCAGCAACCACGCGGTGGCTCACAACCATCTATAATGAGATCTGGTGCCCTCTTCTGGTGTGCGCAGGCGTGCATGCAGGCAGAACACTACATACATAATAAATAAATAAATAAATCTTTAACAAAACAATACAAAACCCAAAAATCCCAAACATCCGAAGGGCAATCCGGCCGCCACAGAAGAAAAGGCAAAAAGCCGCTTGTGACCCGATGTTTCTTCTATGCGGTCCCCTGTCTTTCTGGGCTCCTGTCACGTCCCCTCGGGTCTTCTGCTGCAGCTTGCGGGGCACAAAGCTGGGCACTTGCTCCACACTGGGTCTTCCCCACCTGTGTGCTTGCTGCTTTTCTGGAGCGGAACTTCCCTTTAGTCTGTTCTTTCACCTCCCTTGGGATTTAGCTCAGTGTTAATCCAATCATTATATTTTGCCGTGTGCTGCTTTTCCTTATAGCACGTAGCCCAACTTACTTTTTCCACTTAATTTTTTTCACTTAATTCACCATAATGCACATCACTTAATTCACTTAATTCATCATAATGCTCTCTTTAAAGTGTTTTTAAATTACTTGTGTGTGCCTAAGTGAGTTTATGCACACTATGTATGCGCAGGTGCCCGTAGAGGCCAGAGGGTGTCAGACCTGGAATTACAAACAGCTGCGACATGCCATGTGGGTACTGGAAACCAAACCTGGTTCCTTTGCAAGAGCAACAAATGCTCTTAACCACGGAGCCATCTCTTCAGCCTTCATGTTCTCTGCATTAGTGCAAAGGATCCACAAAAATGGAGATGCTGGTTGCTGGCATGGAAGAGAGGCCAAAAACTGATGGTGTGAACAACTTTACTTTTTTTTTTTTTTTTTAGATTTATTTATTATGTATACAGTGTCCTGCCTGCATGTCTGTCTGCAGGCCAGAAGAGGGCACCAGATCTCATTATAGATGGTTATGAGCTACCATGTGGTTGCTGGGAATTGAACTCAGGACCTTCTGAAAGAGCAGCCAGTCCTCTTAACCTCTGAGCCATCTCTCCAGCCCCAAATTTACCTTTCTTAATTGCTGGAAAGCACTCTTGGATTTATATTCTTTAATCTCTCTATCTCTCTATCTAATCTATTTAGAGAGAGAGAGACTATATGTGAGAGAGAGAGAGAAAGGGAGAGAGAGCAAGAGCAAGCAGACTATACCACATACGTGTATGAGTACAAATGTACAGAGGCAAGAAGGGGTATGTGATGTCCTTTCTATCTCTTAGCCTATTCCCTTGAAGCAGGGTTTTGCCCTGAACCTAGAGGATTCATATTTTCTCTGCTAGGCCTAAAGCCACCAGGCTTCAGCTATCCTCCTGTCTGCCCAACTAAGAGCTGGATTTACATGTGTAGAGGCTTGTTTTGTGGGTGTTAGGATCTGAACTCAGGTCCTCGTGATTGTACAGCAAGCTCTCTTAACCATGTCTCAGCCTTTACACTCAGACCTAAGTTCTACAAGTAGAAGCAATTCATAGGAAAAGCTTGTATAATTCAACCTGGCAGAGGGTTAAAGAGGAAACTGGTGAGGAAGCAGTTTAGAGCCTGCCCAGCTCCACTTTGTAAGCCTGCTGTGCGTTGCTACTTGTCATATAAGCTTAGATTTTTACATTTTACTGGCTAAAGAGATAGTGCCAATACAGGCATGGTGGCTCATTGCTCAATCTCAGCACTTGGAAGGCTGAGGCAGGGATCAATTACCATGCCTGTGGAATAGCCTGGGTTATAGAGTGAGATCATAGCTTACTTTGCAAAACAAAACAGAGTAAAAAGAAGCACTGCTAACTCTCCCATAGACAGTTCATCATCCAACTCATGAATACCCTTCTACCTGACTGGAGAGCTACTTTTGAAAAGCGTGTTTCTGTGTACCCCAAGCTGGCCTGGAACTCACTATTGTAGCCAAGGCTGGCTTTGAATCCACTAAGATTCTCCTAAATTCTGAGCTTATAGGTGTGTGCCACCACACCAGGCTATTAAAAATACTTTTAATTAGAAAACAAAGGAAAAAGAGCTACAAACATTTTTACTTTTCCTGAAGTGATATTTATGACCGTGTCATAAATACAATGTATGATTAATCATGACATTGCAGCTGAACTCCACTTAAACGTGCCTTCCTAGATCTGCAGTTTGCCACTCCTCTTGAGTGTGAAGGTACCAATTCTGTCAGTGGCTAACCTTATACACGGCCTTCAGGGCCAGCTCACGTTTTTTCCTGCCTTCCTCGTGACCTCAGGAGAAACAATGTTGAATTTGCTCCTCTTTGGAAAGCAGCAAACTTCCCTGGAGAGCTCAGGGTTCCCAGTGAGAGCTGCTACCTTCCTTTCCCTTGACCACTGTCTGTGTGTATGTGCTGGGGTTGGGGCGGGGGGGGGGGGGGCGCACTGCCTTTTGAGCCTGTATTTGTCCTGTCCTGAGTTCTCCAAAGAGGCTGGCTGTCCACGAAGTCCATTGTTACAGTTCTGCTACTCTGATATTCCATTCTTCTCTTCTGTTTCCTAAATAAGAGCCTCTGCATGAACACTGCCCTAAGATGTTTAGCAGAACCCTGCTGGAGGTTCCCTTTCCCAGCCCCAGTTTCAGCGGTACTTACTTCCATGTTTATAATCTCACTTTTTAGAGTTTCAGGTCAACTGATGTCTGAAAACATGGACTGGAAACACTGCACGGCACTCTGAGGAACATGACAGACTCTCCTGCCGTTTCACTTAGTTCTGTCCAGACTGTGAACCACCCCTTTGTTCACAGTATCCACAGAATATGCACCACCTGCCCATCAGTCATTTAACAGTGACTTTTGAACAGACCACATCTGGTGGCATGCTGGGTTTATCCCTAGGTTTCAGTATATTTTGGGTATCTGCTGGAGAATTGAAATGAAGATAATGGAAGGGATACTGTGCCTTCAACATTTCCATTTACTCGGTCTCATTTGTAGATGGGAAGCTTTGCAAGGCTCTCCCAGCATGAGCATCTGCCACTTACTCTCTTCTGTTTTCAGGGTCCTCTGTTCCCATCTCCGCTTACTAGGAGTACCCGTTTGCCCAGCCATGCCGGAACAAGAGTTCCTCAGAGACAAGGAGAGGCCCCTCTGTGTCTCCAGCAGCCCCTCCCCGCAGCATGCGCTTACATATGGCTCCTGACTGGTTTTCCCTTCCCACAAACTTCTGTGGCCTTCTGCACTTGTGTCTGCCTTCTCCACCACTTTATGTTTGTGACAGTAACTCCGACACCTACCATGTGGATGAATGCACTCACCATCATCCCAGAGGCTGTGTCTTACTGAGCATGGGCCACCACCACAGGTGAATTTATGGATTATGGGTGGCTCGGAAGGCTCAGGAAGGATCCCTTTCATTCTAAACACCTCTCTGTTTCACACTGGCCTATCCAATTGCCTAGAATTTTGCCACCAGAATTTGATTCCTTTATTCCCCTTTCCTAACTCACACACTCTCACAAACACACAACCACACGCTTGCATGTGCGTGAGGGAAGTACACCTCATCATTAAGAAGCCTTTTAGGGTATTAGTAAGCGATCCTACTCAAGTGAAAATGAACTGAGAACTGGATCTGATAAAAAAAAAAAAAAGGCATAAGGGACAGGTGTGTGAGTAAATTCAGAGTGCTGAAGGCAAAACACAATGACTACATAGGGAGAAGGATGCAGAGAGCCTAGGGCTTTCCTCTCCCCGCCCCCCCCCCCCCTTTCTGGTTTTGCTAGGTTAAGGCTTTTAAAACTGAAGCCGGAACCAATCTGTGTGTGACCTGTAACCGAAAATTCTGGGCTAGCAAGCCACATAATCTCTCAGCCATCTGCCTTTATCTTGACAGCCTTTGAAAAAAAAAATCACCAGCAGGGTCATTCTGCCTCCCCGTCCCATCATTCCACAGAGTAAGTAGGTCAAGGCTATGAGGGTAGAGTTCCTTGCTCAAGGTCTCACAAGTCCAGACTAGGGGACAGGATGTCGCTCCGTGGCAGAGCACTTGTCTGGGGGTGGGGGGACGATCTCCCAGCGGGGCACAAACGAGTCCTGACAAGAGTCTGGCCTCTCTGTCAGTCTCTCCAAGCAGCCGCGCTCTTTATAACCAACACACAGCTTCATCCAGGAAAAGGCAACTCGCTGATTTTCAGACTTCAGAAACAGGCTTTCAAGTCAGCTAACCACAAACCAGGTGTTAAAACATCTATTTATCAAGGGGAACCCGGAGATAAGTTTGTACATAATTGTAGTTTAAAAACCCACAAGCCTAAACAAGAAAGCCACAAATTAAAACAGAGGCTACGCTGTTGCTCTGTGGTTCGCGGGGGCGTGTAATTCCCCACATACACACTTTGACTTAAGATCTATAAAGTAGACGGCTTCTGGTGTCCACCCAATCGGCTTTACTTACCTCCTTCTGGGGCATGTTCAGCATTCTTCAGGCTTCTTGTATGAGGAACCGCGAGGGTAAGTCTGGGCAGCTGGCTGAGTACCACCAGAAGCAGAAACATAGTCCAGCAGCAACTGCCAAACAAACTAAAACAAAAGTAACAAAGACCCATTAAAAAAAGAAGAAGAAGCCGGTCACAGCCGGTTGGGTTTGAGTTGGAACTGAGTCAACAACCTGTCGTACTCAAAAGCCGCCTTGACACTGCGCCCCACGCGCGGTTTTCAATCTCTCGGAGCCGAGGGCAGGCGGCACCCCCGGAGCGCCTGGGACCAGAAGAGGCTCCCCGGGATCTGCGGAGGAGAGGGGTCGGACGCTGGTCCGCGCAGACCGGCAGGCCAGCTAGGTGTCGGAACGCCACCGGCCGAGGTGTCCCTTGGAGGGACCGACCCCCTTCCCCCGCTCTGCCTCGCCCCCCGGTGCCGCACACCTGCGTCCTCGGGCGCGCGTTCCAGCAGCCCCTGGGCGGGAGCCGAGCTGCCTGCTCGTCCCGGAGGCGGCCTGGTCCTGCCTGGCTGATGTCGGCGACAGTCGGAGCCTGGCCCTTGGCGGCGGCGCCGGGGTGACACCAGCACGCGGAGGAGGCGCCTGGGATCCGCGTAGGGGCGCTCGGGGAACGCGCGCCTCCCCGGGCTCAGCTTGTGTCCCCGGGGCCGCTCCCACCGCGGCGGGACACGGAGGGGAGGCGGGTCTTCACCTGGCGGCCCTCCTCCTCCTCCGCTCGGCCTCGGTCCCCAGCCCTCCCCGACCAACCGGGACGCTCTCGGTTCCCAGGCCGATCAGATCGCCCCAGGCGCATCGGGCGTTTTCCCAGTGCAGACGGGAAACTTGGGGGCCCGAGGTTACCTTCGGTCAGCTGTTCTCCCAGGGTGGTCCAGGGGTGAGAACGCAGGATTCATCCGGGGAAAATACACTTCGTTGGGGATTGGCATTGTCACGTGACCCAACAAATTACTCAATTACCTCAGTTCTCAGATGTGTTTCAACAGATCTGGGATGTCTGCAAAATGCTTTCAAGATGTCTCCGGGTCAAATTTGTTTCCACGATAACAAAGCACGGTTTCCACCTCTTTTACTTTCATTTTTTTTTTCCTCGAGTTTAGAGTGGAAGTTTCCAGGAGCTGTAAAACACCAATGGCTGAACACTTGGCGATGTTTAGTATCTTCCACACTGCTGGCTTAGTCGCTTAGATTTTATCAAATTTAATAAATCGTGCTTGTTCTCAGTATATTTCTGCGTTTATTAGGTATCTTCAGTCATAGCTACCCGGACAGCTAATAAACTTTATTCCTCTTGAACAAGTAATCTTAGATTTTAAACTTTTTGTGTTTTTGCTGTTGTGGTTGTTTGTTTTTCAGAAACAGAAAGAGCAGTAAGCATCCTTCGTTGTCATGAGATGAAGTAAAATTTTTGAGAATGTCTCTGTTTTAAAATATTATGTGAGAGATATAATTAGAAATAACTCTAGAGGCCCTGAGCTCACGGTGAGGGGATGAAGACTGGGAGGGAGACAGTGTATCGCCGCATCCTTCATGTCCAAAGAACATGCTCTGTGACTCTTGGGAGCGGTATTGTAAGTTCTGTTCTTTGGCCAGCGGAGTCTGGAACTTGGGGCAGTTGAAACAACAAAATGAAACACCATCTTTGACTCCTTTCTAGTCTTCAGTTAATTCACTTTTCACCAAATTTGTTTTTCTTCCCCACGAGGCTATTATCTATTTTATTCCGATTAATGGAGTAAAGTAAAAAATTTCCAGGTTGTTCTGCAGACATTGTTTTTGTTTCCTTCTAGCAGTAACCAAGCCCCCATACTCTTTCCCTCTGCATGTTGAGGTTCAAGCGGTCTAGAGAAAAGAGTCCGCTCTTCCCCCTTATTTAAGCAGTTGAGATCAGACTTTGGAGAAGCTAGAAATACCTTATTCTTGAGTACAGGAACCGGAAATACCTCTCTCGAAACACCCGTTCTCCCGCTTTCTCAATTTAACCGCCGGAAGCCCTGGCAATAGAGGGATAAACACCATTTTCCTTTCGGGAGAACTGGATCTTTCTGGGATCTGAATCTAAGAATGCAGACCTGTCAGGTCCTCCCAGGGCAAGGGCAGATTTCTTTACTTCCGCTCTCAGAAAAGGGGCCTCCTTGTTATTCTATCTGGTGCATTTTGATACGTGGCAATACTTATTGTCATGTAGAAGTGCTTCACACTACTTATTTATCATTTATTTATTTATTTATTTATTTATTTGTTTGTTTGTTTGTTTGTTTATTTATTTAGGGGTTATTTAAGACGGGGTTTCTCAGTGTAGCCCTGGCGGTCCTAGAACGGCCTCTGCCTCTTGAGTGCTGAGGTTAAAGCTGTGCATAGCGCCTGCAGCCGCCACCACCCAGCCACACTTTTTAAGATTTTTTTTTTGAAGTTGACTTTTTAAAAAAATAATTTATCTAATATTATTTTTTGGTGTGTGTGCAATGGAGTGAGAGTATCAAATTCCCTGGAACTTGCGTTACAGACAGATGTGAGCTGCCATGTGGGAATTGAACCCAGGTCCTCTGGAGGAGCAGCCAGTGCTCTTAACTGCTAAGCCATCTTTCCAGCCGTCTCCCTCTTGCTTTTTATTTTTATTTTTTTCCGGACTGTTTTTTCAAAGGACAGTTTATTAATTCTTTGCGAGTTTCATATAATGTATCTTGATGGTATTCACCTCTCCTTCCGCAACTCTTCCCATATGGACCCTCGCCACTCCACCCACCCAGCTACTCCTCCTGGTAGGGTTTTCCTGCCTTATCAGGAATCACAAGTCATTAAAGAAAGCTGACAAATGCCGAATGCTTCTCAGCTAGCGCTCCGCTTTGGAAGGAAGGTTTTGTATTTGCTGTCAGCCTCACACTATTTTAGGGAGAGGCAAATAGTGAGAAGTTTCCTGCCGTGAAGTCAGCAAACGGGAATCTGAGAGCATTCCTTGGTGGAATAAGTCCACCCACACCAATGGAAAGCTGGGCTCGTACAAATGAAGCTTTGTGCCCACATTAAACATCAGGATTTAAGGACTGACTGTGAGGGGAGTCAGGAATGACAGGCCGCTGCGTTTCCTTTTTGATATGGGTCCACTGTGAAACTGGAAGTTTTTCAGAGGTTAGCAGAGAAGGGCGGGAGGAGGAGGGGACAGGAAGGAGAGAGCTAGCAGCAGACCCTTAATTTCTTTTGTTTACTTTCTGCATTTCATTTTTTATTTTACTATTTTCTTATAATCACAGTATTCTTAGACCTTTTTCCCTAAAGTATTTTAAGTTCTTTCCTAGATAGAGAACTTTCTCTGGCCATCTGTGGAGCTGGGCCAGGTCCTCTGATTCTCATTTCACACAGAGGGATGTTGAAGCACAGAGAAGCCAATGACCCTGCCTGGTGCTTCCTTTGAATTACTAAGCAATGAAGGGCAATGGGTAAAGAATTGTTTAATTTCAAAGGAAATAAGGAAAAAAAAATGGAGGAATGAGATTAATGGACTTGGAAGATGTATTAACGCATCTCTGGGTTTGAGCACTTACACACCCGCCCACTTACCTATGTGAATTCAAGAATGAAATGGAAACTGGCTTCTGTGTGGGCATGAGGATGGACTCAAGGGCTGTGACAGGAAATGTTTAGGTCTCGGTCAGGAAGCTCTTCTGTGTAAGGTCACATTCACTTCCTTAGAGACACATGGCTGACTGTGGCACTGGAATGCCTGGGATAGGAGAGAACTGATGTTTCTGTGACATTTAGCCTTGACATTTCAACAGCAATTGGCTGCTGTTTTAGTTTATCCCAGCAAAATCAGGGAGCAGAAAAGAAAGGGCTTCTACTCCTCAATGTTAATTATGTTTGTGTATGCAGGTGTTTTTCAGTTATCGAATAGAGGCTGCTTTAAACATTTGTGTGGAGCCCACTTGGGAAGCTTTTGACAGAGTTTAGATTCAATTCCATCACTGAAGAACAGTGATTATTGATAGCAAAGTAACTCAATAAAATCAAGAACCCTGAGAAATGTCTTCTAGTTCCTCTCATGGTCCATGAGGAGAATTATTTGTTTCGATTAAAACAAACAAAAAGCCTATATTTCTTCCAAGGTACCCAGGAACCTGAAAATGGTGTGGTTCTAAGCTGCCCCCAGGGCCCAGTGACAAGGACTTTTGTCACAGTTTGTCATAGAGCTGTCATTGTGTGTGTGGACTTTTTTTTACAGCTGTAATTAATTAGTTCATTACTCATCACTCACTTATCATAAGCTTGCTGTCTGCTATCTTCTTTCTTTCTGTCGTTTGTTGTATGCTTGTTTTCACTCTACAGCCCTGGCTGGCCTTCCTTTCCAATCTTGGTCCTTCTCAAAACTGGGGTGACAGGTGTTCATCACCGCTCACTCCCGCTGCCACACAACTCTCCTGGCTCCTTTTGCTAGCTCATCTTCAAGTAATCATAATATTCCACATGAGAAGATTTTTTTTTTTTTCTGTGCAAATTTTATGGAGAACCATTTGTATTTAAGCCACACTTTTCGTATAAGACACGTACAGGAAATGAAACAAATCATGCGTTTCCACCTGTAACTTAAAGCGTTGAAGAGTTAGCGTGGTGAGAGAAGCAGCTTGCTAGTCCGTCACTCGTCTACCTTTGGAAGGTGCTGAGCTCTATTCTCAGCACCAATAGGGTGAGAAGAAAGAACCTAGTAAACACTTGTAATCTCAACTAATCTGAAAGCTGAGGCAGGAAGATCATGAGCTTGAAGTCAGCCTGGGCAACATAGCTGCGCAACGCAAAAGCAGTGGTCATGGAACTTCTACTGATTGAAACACACACACACACATCACACAGATACACACACAAACAGTAACACATCACACACACATACATACATACACAGACACATGCATGAGGGCGTGCACACACAAACACACAGACACAGACACTCACATATACATACAGACAGATACACACACACACAAACAAACACATGCACGGATACAGAAACACACACACACACACACAAAGAACAGAAAGACAAACATTATGCAGCATTGCTTCCAGAAAATGCACAAACAGGATTCCCTTCGTTTTCTTTGAGTCAGTCCTGTGTGGTTTCACCTAGCATCCTGTCTCCAAGCTTTGAAATGTTGAACTAGAGAGTGTAGATTTCCAATAATTTGCCAATTATTCTTCCCACTCTAAACAATCTTAAATTACCAACTTTTTATTGTAATTTGGGATTTTTTTTTCTTCATTGTTGTTTTTTGTTTTTTGACATAGGATTTTACTGTGTACCCCAGGCTGGCCTTGAATGCTGAAGGAATTTTCCTGCCCTAGATGAGTGCTGGGGTTATAGGCTAGCACCACAATATGCGGCGTAATTAAGAATTTCAACTATTTTTTTTCAGTTGTTCTAATTTATATATTTACAGAAAAGATTCTTCTTTTCAGAACTTAGAATTTAAAAACATAGAGCATATTGATTTATCATTTTTCAGAACAATGTCAGCCAGCAGTGGTGGCTTACTCCCTTAATTCCAGCACTTGGGAGGCAGAGGCAGGCATGGCCAGCCTGTTCTACAGATAGAGTTTTAAGCCAGTCAGTGGCACACAGTATCACTGTATCAAAAAA